CCTTCCTTCCTTCCTTCCTTCCTTCCTTCCTTCCCTCCCTCCCTCCCTCCTTCCTTCCTACCATTTATCCCCTCAAGGCAGCTGCCAAGATTACCAGCTCGCCTGCCCTGAGGATTTCTTTTTCTTTAAAATTCTAATAAAACTGTAAAAGCTTAATTCTACTGATTCAGAACTTTTTGTGTCTGGGCAGTCTTTTGGGTTGGTCCTGAACTCTGTAACATAACTATGCAGAGAGAGAGAGATGAGATTCACTGTGCCTCAGGATTTGGAGCATTCAATGTTATGCTTTTAGGCAATGCTAAATAGTGCAATAAGTATTCTGAAGTCTTATCTTTTATGTTTTCTTCCCCTTCTCTGGACCCTTTATGACTAGCGCATTATCACAGGTATTCTGAATTTCTTTTTCTTTTTTACATTTAGTGTGTGTGTGTGTGTGTGTGTGTGTGTGTGTGTGTATGGTGTGTGCATGTGCCACAGTGTATGAGTAGAGGTCAGAGGACAACTTGAACTTACAGGAGTCTGTTCTCTCTTATCACCATGTGGGTCTTAGGGGTCAAACTCAGGTCACTGGGCTTGGAGGCAGACAATTTTAACTGCTGAGCATCATGCTGGCCCATGTGTGGGGCACATAAGCCACAGCACATGTGTGAGATCTGAGACAACTTGTGGGAGTTGGTTCTCTTCTACCATGTGGAATCCTGGGATCCAACGCAGGTTGTCAGGCTTGGCAGCAGGAGATTTTACCCACTCAACTATCTCTCCAGTCTCAGTATTCCGAATTTCAAGAAAATCTGTGTCTCTTTATTAAATTAAGCATTTGTTGTTCCTTTCAGTTTAGATGCATGCCCTTTGGTTCTAAGAAATTTTAGATCTTATTTCATCCACTCTCTTTCCGGAACGCCAATAAGAAGGGTTGTAGAACTGCGTCCTTAAATTAATTAATTAACTAATTATATTTATTTGGTCTCCCTGTTTGTTTATTTATTTATTTATTTATTTATTTATACTTATTTGGTCTCCCTGTAGCTCCAGCTGGCCTGAAACTATGTAGACCAGGCTGGCCTTGAACTCACTGAGATGGGCCTGCCTCTGCCTCCCATTTGCTGGGATTAAAGGCATGTGCCACCATGCCCGGCAATTTTTATTATTTCTTATTTTCTAGCTTCTATCATTTTTTTATAATTTCAACTCAACAATAACACATTTTCTTAAATTATTCTTTTTTCATATAATCTTGTTCTTATTTTTTAACCCCTGCACAGGGATTTGCATGTTAGACAAGTGCAATCTGTGAAGAGGATGACCAGCTCTCTTATAACTTCAACTGCAGATAGAAACTGTGGCTTGCAATGGAACTCTGCTCTGCTAAACTTCTCTTGTAAATACTGTCATTGCAAATGGTTTTTAAATTTCTAGTCTGCCGAGACTGGAGAGATGGCTCAACAGTTAAGAGCACTGGCTGTTCTTACAGAAGACCCAGGTTGAATTCCAGTCACCCACATGGCAGCTAACAACTGTCTGTAACTCCATTTCCAGGGGATCTGACACCTTCTTCTGACCTCTGCCGGCACTGCACGACATGGGTGCACTTACACACATGCAGGCAATACACTCATACACATAAAATAAAAATAACAAATAAAATGTATAAAAAAAATTTCTATACCTTTAATCCCAGCACTCAGGCAGAGGCAGGCAGATCTCTGTGAGTTCAAGGCCAGCCTGGTCTACATAGTGAGTTCCAGGACAGCTGGGGCTACAGGGAGACCCTGTCTCAAAAAGACTCCCCCCCCCCGCCAAAAAAATTTCTGGTCTGCTGATATTTCTTCAGTTTGTCTTTGGAAGTTTTATGTTTTTTAAATCCTTTATTGTTTAGTTTAATGAAGTTTGGGCAAGGAGCAGAAATCATTGTACATTGTAAATTTTATCTAATTAGATTTATTCACTCATTTTTAAATTCATTTTTCAGTACTGGGAATCCAGGGCCTCATGCATGCTAGGCAGCTGCTCCTCCACTGAGCTGAATATGCCAAACCCTAATCAGTAGTATTAACTTTTTGTGATGTTTTTAGTAAGAATTAATGTGTAGAGTTCCTTAAATATACCTGGCATATAACTGTCACAGAAAGGTAATTTTCAAGTCTAAATATATTAGTGGCTTTAAAACGATATTGGAGCTGGAGAGATGGCTCAGTGGTTAAAAGCACTGGCTACTCTTGCAGAGGACCCAGGTTTGGTTTCCAGCACCCACATGGCAGCTAACAACTGTCAATAACTCCAGTTCCAAGAGATCCAACACCCTCTTCTGGCCTCTCTGGGCATTACACCCATGGGTGCATTTATATACATGCAGGCAAGACACTTATAAAATTTTTTTAAAAATTGAAAGGAAAATGGAATTACACGCCAGGCGTGGTGGTGCATGCCTTTAATCCCAGCACTCCGATCTCTATGAGGTCAGAGGACAACTTGTAGAAGTTTGGTCTCTCCTTCTACCATGTGGGTTCTGGGGATCCAACACACGTATTCAGGTAAAGGTAGTAAAGTGAATACCTTTACCTGTTGAGCCATCTCACTGGCCCTCTACCTGTATTTAAACACGTACTTTTATTAGTTCTTTGAGAATTTCATACAATGTATTTTTTAAAAAAGTTTAATTTGCCGGGCATGGTGGTGCACACCTTTAATTCCAGTACTTGGGAGGCAGAGGCAGGAGGCAGGTGGATCTTTGTAAGTTCAAGGCCAGCCTGGTCTACACAGTGAGTTCCAGGACAGCTGGGGCTACAGGGAGACCCTGTCTCAAAAAAACAAAACAAAAAAAGTTTAATTTATTTTAAAATTTTATGTGAGTTAGCATATTGCCTGCATGTATTTAGTGTACCTGTATAGTGTAATGACTAAGAAGGTCAGAAGGGAGCATTGGCTCCCCTGGATGGTTGTTAGTCTCCATGTGGTTCTGGGAATTGAACCTAGGTCCTCTGCAAGAGCAGTCAGTGCTCTTAACTGCTGAGTCATCTCTCCAGCTCCATACAATGTATTTTGATCATGTTCTTCCACTTCCCCCAACTCCTCCCAGGTCCATTCTTACCTCCCTATCCATCCAACTTAGTGTTCTTGTTTTTCCCAATCTGGGTTGTTCAACTCTATGGAACTTGGTTGACTTATCAGGTGTCATGCCCTTATAGAAAACTGACTCCCTTTCCCAGTAGCTATCAAATGCCAATAGCTCCTCAGCTTAAGGTAGGACTTCCTGCTTACCTCCCCCACTGAAAGCTGGGATTTTTGTCTGGCTTGATGTCTGGCTTGAGCAGGTCTTGTGCATGTTGTCACAACTGCTGCAAGTTCTTATGCATAATCTTGGGAGGAGGGGCATGATATAGATGTTCCATTTAGGGCCGAGCACTTCATAGTCTCTTATTCTTTGCATGTTGATCAGTTGTGAGTCTCTGTGTTAATTGTCTATCTGTATTTTTTATGTCTAATTGAAACCCAAAATTCATCTGTTGGCAGCTCTGATGACATTGCTGCTCCATTCACATCAGAGGATGCTGGAGGCAAGTGGATTTGCATGAATCTGTAGACTCAAGCTTCAGGCTTATACCTCACAATTTCTTCTTATATTCCTAAATATTGGAATATATTTTTACTTCTTTCTTTCCTTCTCTCTCTTTCCTTCTTTCCTTCCTTCCCTCCCTCCCTCCTTCCTTTTTTTTTTTTTTTTGTCTTTTTGAGACAAAAGCCCCAGCTGGCCTGGAACTCACTATATAGATCATACTGGCCTTGAACTCCCAGAGATCCGTCTGCCTCTGCCTCCTAAGTGCTGGGATTAAAGGCGTGTGCCACCACCTCAGCTTTAGTTTTATTTTTAATGACGGTTTTTGAACTGGGTGTGGTGGGCACACCCTAATCCCAGCACTCAGGAGGCAGAGCCAAGAATATCAGAAATTCCAAACTGGTCTGGGCAACATGAGACCCTTTGGCGGAAAAAAAGAAACAAAACAAAAATGGCATGTGTGGGTATGCACACATACACATGCACACACACGCATACTCTGAATAAACATAATTAAAAAACTAACAACAAAGGTGGTTCTTTAAAGATCTTAGTGAAAACAATAACTCAGTGATAAATACTTGGTAAAGCAAAATTCTTACCATTAGGTTGGGGAAAAACTGGAGGAACAGGTGGTACAGCAGGAGGATAATTTGGAAATACTGGAGGAGGCAAAGGAAAATTCATCCCTAAGGAGCCCTGTGGAAACATTTAAAAATTATAAGACAACACAACACAAAGCTTCTGTAGGGACTAATTAAAAATTTAATAGAGTGGCTGGAGAGATGGCTTAGCAGTTAAGTGTGCCTGCTGTTCTTCCAGAGGGCTAGTTTGGGAGGCTAACAACTGCCTGTAACTCCCACTCCAGTGGATCCAACCCCGTTCTGGCTTTTGTAGGCAGGCACACACACACACACACAAAAACCAGATCTTTAAAAAATTTTTAAGAGAAGTCATGAATGATTCTTACCAATTGTTGTAAAGCAAAAAGTGCAGCTTTCTCCTTGGCTTCATTTTCAGAGTGGCACTGCGGCCCATGCACCAGTAAGCCATTAGACAACTTCACCTGGCAAATGGTCATTGTCTAAAATGACAGAACATAGAAGAAGTCTGTGAGATTATCTCCCAAGGAAGTCAGCTTCCTCCCTCAAAGCTTTGTCTCAACAAAGGAGAATAATTTCATCTGACATTCTATAAAAAAGAATTCAATTCTTGATTCTCCTGCCTCTACTTACCGAGGAATAGGATTATGGGTGTGCATTACTCTGCCTGGCTCTTTTCTTCTGTTGCCTATACCTTTGGTATCACATCAAATAAATCAATCCTGAACATGTTGTAAAGCTTTAACTCTATTTTTCTTCTAAGAATTTTATAGTTGTAGGTCCCAGTTCTTATTTGAGTAATAATTATTATCATTATTTTATCATTATATTGCCTTGGTTGACCTTCCTCAGTCTCCTGAGTGTTAGAATTGTTGGAATTACAGGTGTGTGTTCTGATACTCCATACTCAGACTGAGTTTTTTTTTAAACATTTTATTTATTATTTTTATTTTATATGTACAAGTGCATTGCCTACATGTATGTGAATGCACCCGTGTCCTGCAATGCCTCGGAGGTCAGAAGAGGGCTTTGGATTCCCCTGGAACTGGAGTTAAGGATGGTTCGTAACCGCCATGTGGGTGCTGGGAATTGAACGTGGGTCCTCTGCAAGAGCAGTCAATGCTCTTAACCTCTCAGCCATCTCTCCAGCCCCTCAGTCTGAGTTTTTAAAATTACATTAAAAAAATTTTGTGTGCGTATGTGGAGGCCAGAGGACTTGTGGAAACAGGTTCTCTCCTATCATATGGCTCTCAGGGATTAAACAAGTCATTAGGCTTGGTGGCAATTGCCTTTTCTTTTCTTTTTTTTTTTTTTTTCGAGACAGGGTCTCCCAGTAGCCCCAGCTGGCCTGGAACTCACTATGTAGACTATGTAGACCAGGCTGGCCTTGAACTCCACCCGCCTCTCCCAAGTGCTGGTATTAAAGGTGTGCACCACCATGCCTGGCTTTTCTTTTTTCAAATACTTCATCATTTGTTAGTTTTTTTAAATTCATTTTCATGCGCACGGCGTGTGTGTGTGCGTGCGTGCTCACATATGTGTACAGAGGCCAGAGAAGGGTGTTAGTTGTCCTGCTCTATCACTTTCTGCCTTATAGGGTCTGTCACTAAGCCTGGAGTTAGAATGGCAGCCAGCAGGCTCCAGTGATCCTCCTGTCTCTGTTCCCAATAGTGCTTAGATTATAGGTATTTGTGGCTATATATGGCTGTCATTTTTTGAAGATTATTTATGTATATGCCTGTGTGTCTGTGACATGTGTGTGGGTGTCCTCGGAGGCCAGAAGAAGGTGTCAGATCTCCTGGAGCTAGTTACAGGTGGTTGTGAGCTGCCCAACATGGGTGCTAGGAACCAAGCTCAGGTCCTCTGGAAGAGCAGCAAACTCTTAACCACTGAGCCATCTCTCCATCCCCATGCCAGATTTTTTAATTGGGTGCTGGGGATTTGAATTTAGGCTGTTGCTTGCACAGCAAATGCTCTTATACACTGGTCATCTTTTCATCCCCCTTGAGTTAATTTTTAATTGTTTTAGGATTTATTTTTATTTAATGTGTATGAGTGTTTCGTGTGCAAGGACATAAGTGTGCCACATGCATGTAATGCCTGGGGAGGCCAGAGGAGAGTGTCAGATCCCCCTGAACTCAAGTTACAGTTGATAACTGCCAAATGGGTGCTGGGAACCAAACCAAGGTCCTCTGGAAGCACAGCCAGTGGTTTTAATCTCTAAGCCATATCTCTAGCCCCTGAGTTAATTTTATATATGGTATTAGGAAAGGGTCTGACTTCATCATATAATAGGTGGACATTAAGCTTCTCCAGACTATTTGCTGAAAAAAAAAAAGATGACTTTCTTTACTGAACGGTCTTGGACTCCTGTCAAATATTCATTTTGTTCTACATATAAAGGTTATTTCTGGGCATGCTAGTCTTTGTTCTTTTGACAGGGACTGTACTGAATTTGCAGAAGCCTTTTGCCTCTTTCATTAAACTCATTGCTAAACATTTATTTTATTTTATTTTTTTGGTCTTTTTGAGACAGGGTCTCCCTGTAGTCCCAGCTGTCCTGGAACTCACTATTAGGGGCTGTGGTCTGTACTGAGAAACTGTACTGAGCTTAATATAACCTGGGAACTGTGCTTTTTCTTTTTTTTTTTTTTTTTTTTTTTTTTTTAAATTTTTTTATTATTTTTATTTTTTGTGTACGTGTGTATTGCCTGTATTTAGGTAAGTGCACCCGCGTCGTGCAATGCCCACAGAGGACAGAAGAGACTGTTGGATCCCCTGGAACTGGAGCTACAGACAGTTGTTAGCTGCCATGTGGGTGCTGGGATTCGAACCCGGGTCTTCTGCAAGAACAGTCAGTGTTCTTAACCGCTGAGCCATCTCTCCAGCCCCTCACATTTATTCTTTTTAATGTTATTGTAAGTGGAATTATTTTCTTAATTTCCTGTTTGGATTGTTTATTATTAAGGTACAGATGTGCAACTGTTGATACTGTATTTTGCAGTTTTGTTGATTTCACTTATTAGTTCAAAAAGTTTTCTTGTTGGGCTTGGGTGGCACACACCTTTGATCCCAGTGCTTGGGAGGCAGAGGCAGGCAGATCTCTGTGAGTTCAAGGCCAGTCTGGTCTTAAAAAGGCAAGAAAAAAAAAAACAACTTTCCTTCTAATGCAATCTTTAGTGTTCTATATGCAAGATCATATCACCAGTGCACACAGTTTTCCTTTCCACTTTAGTTGTCTTGTCTTGCTTACCTGCTCTAGCTGAATTTAGTACCATGTTAAGTAAGTCGCAAAGATAAATATCCATGCCTTGTTCCAGCTTAGAAGAAACTGCTTTCTGTTTCAGGTAAGACTATATCAAGAACTTGACTGTGAAGAAGATAAAATAACCTTTGTTTGCAGCTAATAAGTCTGAAATGACGTTTGGGAGACCCCCGGAGGTTCCCAAGACCCTTTTCAGAGGACCATTGAGGTACAACATATTTTTTTTAATATTTATTTATTATTTTTATTTTATGTGTATGAGTGTATGGCCTGCATGTAGGTAAGTGCACCCGTGTCGTGCAATGACTGCAGAGGTCAGAAGAGGCTGTCAGATCCCTTGGGACTGGAGTTACGGACAGTTGTTAGCTGCCATGTGGGTGCTGGGATTGAAACCCGGGTCTTCTGCAAGAACATGAGGTACAAAATATTTTGTAATGACACTGGGATGCTATTTGTCCTTTTTATCATTGCTTTTCCTCATTTCTCATTTTCCTTCCAAGTATACAAAGGAAAAAATTCACTGATAGAGGTTCAGACCAGACACTGTAACTAGCTTAAAAAAACCTGCCACTGTAAATTTCTATTTATTTATGAAGCAGCAGAATCTCAGTTTTCAAATGAACCACAAACAGCCAATAAGTTTTTTTTTTTTTTTTGGTCTTTTTGAGACAGGGTCTCTCTGTAGCCCCAGCTGTCCTGGAACTCACTATGTAGACCAGGCTGGCCTTGAATTCACAAACTCACAGAGATCTGTCTGCCTCTGCCTCCCGAGTGCTGGGATTAAAGGCTTGCACCACCACGCCTGGCTTGCCAATAAGTATTTTAAAATGTGTTTCCCATCAGGGAAAGACAAGTTAAAATAACTTTGAGATTGAATTTCATCCCAGTCAGAATGGCCATCACTAAGAAGAGAAAGAACAGCAAATGCTGACGAGGATGGGGGAGGAACCACTATTTACTTGGCGGGAGTGCACACTTGGACAGACATTATGGAAACCAGCATGGAGGTTACTCAAGAAAATGAGAAGAGAACTTCCCTATGACCTAGTATACCACTTCTAGGCATATACCCAACATATGCTATATCCCACCAAAGAGATACTTGTACTTCCACACTTCCTGTTGCATTATTCACACTAGTAAGGAAATAGAACCAGTTTAGATGCCCAGCAACAGATGAGTAGATAATGAAAATATGAAAAGTATGAATAAAATGGAATTTTATCCAGCTGTAAAGAAAAATGAAATCACGAAAATTTCAGGAAAATGGATGGATCTGGAAAGTTATATTAAGTGAGGTAACCCAGACTCAGAAAGACAAAAACGGCATGCTCTCCTTCCTATGCGGGTGACTTTATGCATGTATCTAGGTGAGGGTGAGTATGGGTTTAAGACTATGAGACTGGTAAAGAGATCATGAAAGGGAAATGAAGTCTTTTTTTTTTTTTTTTTGGTTTTTTTGAGACAGGGTTTCCCTGTAGCCTCAGCTGGCCTGGAACTCACTATGTAGACTGGGTTGGCCTCAAACTCACAGAGATCTGCCCACCTCTGCCTCCCGAGTGCAGAGACTACAGGCGCGTGGCATGCCACCACACCCAGTGGAAATAAAGTCTTGACCAAGGAGGACAACAGAACTTGAAAGTAGACAGGAGGCTATGGGTGGTGGAAAGGTACAAGGCGGGGGGCCTGGAGGGGGATAATAAAAAACAACTGTCTTCTTGAAAATGTCATAATGAAACCTAATATTATATAAGTTAATTAGGAAAGGAGGGAGGGAGGGAGAGAGGGAGACAGAGTCAGTCACTGGATAGCCCCAGGCTAGCCTTGGACTTATGATCTTCCTGCCTCAGCCTCCCATGTGCTGGGGTTATAGACTTGCTATCATGCCAAGCACATTTTAAGGTGTCCCCCTGCCCCAGGGTTTCATGTATCTCAACTTGACCTCAAACTTGCTATGTAGTCAAAGATGACCTTCAACTTCTGATCTTTCTGCTTCTACCTCTTGAGGTCTGGAAGTATAGGCATGAGCTACCACCCCCAGTTTCACGTTTTAAGTTTCAATGTAGTAACAAATAATAGTCACAATTATTTGAAAAAGCTATTAAAATCTTCTTTTTTTCTATGTACTTATATAGCTTTATATTTCTACCAAAATAACATATAATGAGAGCAATAGTAACAGGCATATAATAATCTAGATTTTAAAATGTAGAGCATTATTATCATGCTTCTTGCTATGTGTTCATGTGTGTATGTGCACATATATGCATATGTGTGAAGAAGACACTGGGTATCTTCAATCATTTTCATCTTGGTTTTTGAGATAAGGTCTCTCACTGAACCTAGGGTTCACTGATTTGGCTAGACTGGCTAGTCACTAAGCCCCAGGGATCCTGTTGTTCTGTCAGCTCGAGGATCCTGAACCCAGCCTTTTTGTAGGTGTGGATATCAAACTCAGGTCTTCATGTTTGCATGGAAACACCAAGTAAGCCATCTATCCACACTATCTTCTTGTAATTTTTTTCTTCCACTGCTGGAGATTAAACCCAAGATATCTTTGCATGCTGGTCAAATATTTCACTACTGAGTGAGACCTATAGCTCCCTGAAACTTATTTTTGAAAGACTTTTTGGCATGATAGGCACTGAGTTAAGAAATACATAAAGTGTTTTCCTAATGCATCTTCCAGTTCTCATCAATGAAGCTCCCTCATGCAACAGAGGGTCAGGAACACAAAAGGCCACAAATGGCCAAAATGCAGAGAGTAAGAATCTACAGAGTGTGGGTCCTTGGACAGGACTCCTATATTGAGGTCCACCCACCCAGGGCTCAGGGACCATTGCAGAAAAGGGGGGTGGGTGGAAAGATTCTAAGAGCCAGGCAGGAAGTGCATGACCACCAGAAATAGTCCTACAGGCACCTGGGACCCTTCTCATACACACCTACAGCAGTGGTGTCAGCATGTACAAGACCCATGTAAACTGTTAAGCAGACAAAATCCTAGAACAGAACTGTGGAAATGAACAGCAAGCTCCAACCACAGTTGAAGAATTATTGGCAGCTGAATATTACTGGCTGAGGAAGAGCTGATTTTCTTGAAGGGAGAGATTCTAGATAGGCTGACTAAACCCTGGTGGACAAACTTGCACCAAGGGACATCTGGGGACACTAAGTTTACATAATAGGCCTTAATACAAATTACAGAATGCATGAACTCCCTTGGGGGGCTATCGGGTTGTTGCCAAAGGGGAAGGGGGTATAAAGATGATTTTATGTATGAAATATGCAAAAAACAATACAAATTTATATAAAAAAGAAATATATAAACTTTTCAGTTTTAAATTCTAATATAAGCATAGATTTAACATATATGAATAAAAGTTCTTTGGGTTCTTCCAAAATGAAGGCGTTTCAGAAACCAAAAAGCTAAAACTCTTGTTACAGACCAAGACCCCTAGCTCTACCAATCTACTAGAATACTTGCCTCCCAGGTCTTTTGGTCAGTTTCTTTAAAGGCTCTAGTTACATGGAAAGGAAATAGCCAGAGTGAGAAGCATAAATCTACACTTTTCTAATCTTTAAAAAACCCTCATTGGGATGGCGACATAGCTCAGTAGAGTGGTCGGCTGGCATGTGTGAGGCTGAGTTTAATTTCTACTGCTGCTAAAAAAAAAACAACAGCAACAACAAAACAAAAACACAAATACAAAACCAAACCAAACCCCAGCCCATCATTTGTTAGTTAAAGATTTTCAGCCAATTTATTTAAGTTCAGTTGAAGAATTTATATCTAGGGGTTGGAAAGATGGCTCAGTGGTTAAGAGCATTGGCTGCTCTTGCAGAGAGCACCCTGGCTCAATTCCCAGCATCCACATGATGGCTAACAACCATCTGTAACTCCAGTTTCAGGAGATCTAATGCCCTCCTCTGGCGTCCATAGGCACTGTACATACATGGTGCACTTACACATGCAGGCAAAACACTCAAATATATAATACATAAAATTAAAATGAATAAAATATTTTTTAAAAAAAGAATATGCTGGGTGAGGCAGCACTCTGAGTTCAAGGCCCACCTGGTCTACATAGCAAGTTCCAGGCCAGCTGGGGCTACAGGGAGCCTGTCTCAAAATGACCAAAGTGATATATGTTATAAATGACCCTGTCTCAAAATGACCAAAGAGATATATGTTATACTATACCTGTGGTGTTCTCAGAAAGGAGAAATCTGGTTGTGGCATTCCGACAAGGGAACAAATTCGAGAAAGTTCAGTTACTGGTGTGGACACAGGAGGGATCTGGCCAGGCCAACACATGCTATCCACAGATGGAACATTTTGGTATTCATTAGTACTGTGAGGATTGTTCATATAAGATGCTAACAAAAAAGAGAAAAGGGTATATCTACATTAATAAAATGATCTTGAATTCTTCAGTTATTATAGTTGTACAATAGCTCAAATAGAAAACTGCTAAATGGCTAAAAAAAAAATGACAGGTGAGGCACAGTGGCTTGCATCTGCAATTTCAGTACTTAGGAACCTGAAGCAGGAGGACGACCACCAGTTTGAGACCCAGTCTCCAAAAACCAAAAGGTTAAGGAAAAAAAAATTACTAAAAAGTAAATATAGGGACTGGAGAGATGGCCCAGCAGTTAAGAGCACTGGCTGCTCTTGCAGAGGACCTGGGTTCAGTTCCCAGCACCTACATCATGGCTAACAACCATCTGTAACTCCAGTTCTAGGGAATCTGACATCCTTTTCTGACCCCTGTGGGCCCTGCATGACACAGGCGCACTTACATACATGTAAGCAATACACTCAAACACATAAAAATATTTTAAAAAAGAAGTAGATTACCTAAAAGTATTGAGACTTTAATAAAAATTTTCAGATAATTAGAATTGACTAATGATAATTATCAAGATAAAAATTTTAAATGGGGGTCTGGAGAGATCGCTCAGCAGTTAAGAACACTGGTTGTTCTTGCAGAAGACCCAGGTTCAAATCCCAGCCACCCACATGGCAGCTAACAACTGTCTGTAACTCTAGTCCTAGGGGATCCGACAGCCTCTTCTGACCTCCGCAGGCACTGCACAACACAGGTGCACTTACCTACATGTGGGCAATACATGCATATACATAAAAATAATAAAATAAAAAAAAATTTAAATGGGCTGAGTATAGTGGTGCATGCCTTTAATCTCAGAACTCAGGAGGCAGAGGCAGGCAGATCTCCATGAGTTCAAGGCTAGCCTATTCTACACAGCAAGTTCTAGGTCAGTTAAGGATACATAGTGAAACTCTGTCAAAAAACAAACAAACAAAAAATAATTAAAAAAAAAAACAACTGGGTCTGATGGAGCACACCTGTAACTGTAGCACTTGGGAAGTGGAGACAGGAGAAACAGGAATTCAAGGTCAGGCCGTGTATAGAAAGTTTGAGGCCAGCCTCAGAAATTTTCTCAAAAACCAAAACAAGGGGGCTGGAGAGATGCTCAGTAGTTAAGAGTACTTGTTGCTCTTGTAGAGGACCTGGGTTTGGTTCTCAGCATACACATGGTGGCTAACAACTGCCTGTAACTCCAGTTCCAGGGGCTCCGATAACTGCTGGCTTCTATAGGCACATGAACTCACATGGTACATATAAACTAATGCAGGCAGATACATACACATAAAAATAAATAAATCTTTGGGGTTGGGAATGTGGCTTTGCAGCAGCACGCTTCCTTAGCATTTATATGGCCCCAGGATTTATGCTCAGTCTCTCCCCCCACAACACACAAATCAAAACAAAAGAAAAAAGCTTTTAAGTTATTGATAGCCAAAAGTTTCAATTTTGAGCAATGAATGATTGATTACATGGTGCTGCTACAAGTAATTTGAACAAATGGCTCTCTTGAGCAGATTTACAATTAGTCCTTAACTTTATCATTTATTTTCTACATTTGCTTATTTTTTTTTGTGTGTGTGTGCATGTATGCATATGTCTCCTGGGCCACAGTGCATGTGTGGAGGTCAGAGGGCAACTGGTGGGAATCAGTTCTGTCCTTCCACCATGTGAGTCATGGGATAGAACTCATGCTGTCAGGATTGGGAGCATACACCCTAACCTGCTGAGCTTTGTTTTTTTGAGAGAGGTTCTCATTATGCAAACCCTGGATGGAATGGAACTCACTATGTAGATCAGGCTGGACTCACAGAGATCCTCCTGTCTTTGCCTTCTTAAGTTTTTTTTTTTTTTGGTCTTTTTGAGAAAGGGTCTCCCTGTAGCCCCAGCTGGCCTGGAACTCCCTATATAGACCAGACTGGCCTTGAACTCACAGAGATCCGCCTGCCTCTGCTGGGATTAAAGGCGTGTATCACCATGCCCAGCTTTAATGGTAGAATATTTTTGTTGTTCCAAAATGTTTTTTTGCCAGGCATGGTGGCGCATGTCTGTAATCCCAGCACTGGGCTGGCACATGCAGAGGCTAGATCACAGCAAGTTTGATGTCAGTCTGATCTACACAGTCAGTTCTAGGCCATGAGGAGTTATACAGTCAGATCCTTTTTTAAAACGAAAAAGAATTTTCAAGTTGTCTAAATGTAAATGTTTTTACATAGAAAATGATTTAAAATTTCTGAATGCTCACATTTTGTTTTTTAAAATTTATTTTGATTTTATGTATATGAGTGTTTTGACTGCATGTATATATGTGCATCATATGTGTGCCTGGTACCCGTGGAAGCCAGAAGAGAGCATCTGGAACTGGAGTTATAGATGGCTGTGAGCTGCAATGTGGGTGCTGAGAAATGAACTCAGGTCCTCCACAAGAGTAGCACATGCTCTTAACTGCTGAGTCATCTCTTCAGTCTCAATGGTCACATTCTTTATGACCAATAAGTTTAGTAACAGAACAAAAGCATACCTCAGTAAACAACGTTTTTTATTGAGATTTGATCTCACTACATAGGCTTGGCTGGCTTGGAACTCACTATGAAGACCTGGCTGGCCTCACAGTCTCAGAAATCTGTCTCTGCCTTTGGAATGCTGGGATTAAAGGCATGCACCACCATACATGGCCCCTCCCTTTTTGTTTTTTTGGACAGGTTCTCATGAAGCTTAGATTGGCCTCAAACTTGATATTATAGTCCAGGCTAGCCTTGAACTCCTGATCCTCCCGCCTGTACTTTCCAAGGGCTAGTATTACAGGTGTACACCAAAAAATTCTGTTTATTCAGCATTCAGAACTGAACTCGGGGCCTTGTGCATGCTAGGGTACCAACTCTACCAACTGAGCTATCCCCAGCCTTGAAACCTCTGTTTTAGAAAAGTGGCTGAGATCTGGGCCTGGCACGTAGACCAGTAATTCTAGACACTCAGGAAGCTGGAGGCAGGAGGACCACCTGTCTGGGCTATAGAGTTCCTCATCTCAAAAAAAAAAAAAGAAAAAGAAATTGAAAAAGGGCAGGACATGCAGGTTGACTCTAGTATACTTGCTTAGAATGTTTGAAGCCTCAGGTTCAATCTCTAGTAGTGAGTGAAAAAAAGGTTAAATGGCTGGATTCTGAGCTACTCAGTTCTTTATGCTTTCTCTATAGTGAAATTAAGTAAAACTTAATTGTCTTTGACAGTGGGATGAGATTTATTCATTTTTTGTCTAAAAATTTATTTTGATCTAGTTCAGTAGTTTATCACTCTGATAAATAATTTCTAATAGCTTCTGAAGATCAGTGAGATAGCTCAATGGATAAAGGCTCCGCTGCCAAGCCTGACCACCTGAAATTTTACTCATTATTCCAATATTCACTGGAGTATAAAATGGACTAGGCTCTACCTTTGTTCCAGATTTTGATCCTTAATAACTTCAGAAATGATTTAATTTACTTGAGAAAATCCTGTTCAAATCCACTTTTGTTTGAATCACTCTTCCTGGTAGATTTCGGCAGATAATTACATAACTATACACTAAAATGTAAGGGACTAAGGTCTAAATAATCACAGATATTCACCAAAATCCATCTGAGTGTTACATGCTACCTCACAGGCATCATAGATTTCAGGCAACTACTTGCTTCCAATGTACATCCTTATTAATGATTTTTAACTGATTTTTTTTTATAGTGGTTAAATTATTTTAACATTGGAGCTGGAGAATTGGCTCAGCGGTCAAGAGCACTGACTGCTCTTGCAAAGGACCCGGGTTCAGTTCCCAGCACCCACATGGCAGCTAACAACCACTGGTAATTCTAATTCCAGGGGATCTAAATGCCCTCTTCTCACCTCCTTGGGCATTTACATCGGTGCACTTACACACATGCAGGCAATACACTCATACACATAAAATAAAACAATGAAAATACTAAATTATTTTAATATAAGTACTAATATCAATGGCATCTATGTTGAGTTGACAGTGCTAATTGCTTTATATATAACTACCACAAGTTACTTGTAATTCATTGTTCTCCTTTTATAAACAGGAAAACATTTTTAGAACTGTATTTAAACATATATAATCATTTAAAATGTGGACATCTTTCAACGTTTGGGTATCTACTTTTTTTTCTTCTTCTTCTTTTTTGGGTATCTACTTGTAATAGTACATTTTAAGTAGTCTCAAGAAGATTTAGGGCTTACAAATCTTTAATCACAGTCATACTACTTCATAAGTGACACAAGTTAAAAAAAAATCTTTCTTTTTTTGGAGGGGCAGAGTCTGACTGTGTAGCCCAAGTTGACCTTGATCTTCAAGCAATCCTCCTGCTTCAGCCTCTCAAGTGTTAGTTTTATAAGTGTGCATTACCATATATAGCTTAAAATATTATTCTCTAAAAAATAAAAATAAGCAAAGTATGGTGGTACATGCCTGTAATTCTAAGCATGCAAGAAGTTGAGGCAGGAGGAATAAGCATTTAGGTCCATTTGGGCTACAAAACTACATAGTGAGACTGTCTCAAAAAGATAAAACCAAACCAACCAACCAACTAACCAAAAAATACAAAATAAATAAATAAGACCAAGCAAAAGTGTAGTTTTTCTTTTGTAAGACAGGGTCTCATTATACAGCCTTGGTTGGCCTGGAACTTGCTATGTAGACCATGCTGTTCTCAAACTTAAAAATAGTAGTTTTAAGGCAGGGTTTTGCCCTGTCTGTTTATATAGCCTAAGCTGACCTGGAGCTTACTATACTATGCACTGCAGGCTGGTTTTAGACTCAGTAATTCTTTTGCATTATCATCCCAAGAGCAGAGATTATAGGTGTGAGCCATAACATCTGACTTAAAATAGTGCTTTATTTAGTTACTTATTTATATTTTAAAGTTTACTTTTTATTATTTTAAATTATGTATTTATGTGTGTTGGGGGTGTGTGCATGTAAGTACAGATGCCTGAGGAAGTCAGAACTATTGGATCCTCTGAAAGTGGAGTTACAGGTGGTTGTGAGCCATCTGACATAGGAACCAATCTCAGGACCTCTACAAGAGCAGTATATGCTCTTAATCTCTGAGTTATCCCTCTAGCCTATTTATTTATTTATTTATTTATTTATTTATTTATTTATTATTTGTGTGTATGTATGTGTAGGCGAGAAGAGGGCACTGGATATACTCTTCTATCACTCTCCTTTAAGACAGGGTCTCTCCCTGAACCTGGGGCTTGCTTTTTTTGGCTAGGCTGGAAGCTAGCAATTCCAGAAGCCAGCAAGCCCCAGTGACCATCTTGTCTCTGCCCACCTTTGAAGCTGGGGCAACAGGTACTCATGGGCTTCCTGTCTTGTTACTAGAATATGAACTTTAGTCTTCATGGGTGTATGGCAAGTACTCTCAGCCTCTGAACCATCTCTTCAGGCCCCAGTTTTATTTTGTCTTTTTGAGACAGGGTCTCCATGTAGTGTAGCCCAACCGGCCTGGAACTCACTATGTATACCAGACTGGCCTTGAACTCACTCACAGAGAGTGCTGGGATTAGAGGCGTGTGCCACCATGCCCCACATTAGTCCCCAGTTTTATCTTTGAAAGGACATAGAAAGAGATGGTTCAGTAGGTTAAGGTGCTTGCTGCCAAGCCTGACAACCTGAGTCCAATCCTCAGGACCCACATGGTAGAAGAGGGCTGACTCCCCCAAAGTTGTCCTCTGGGATCCACACATGTACACAGATACAGACACAGAGACACAGAGACAGACAGACAGACAGACAGACAGACAGACACACACACACACACACAAAAACTGTAATGTTTTTTTCCAAAGAAATCAAATGAACTAAACTTCTGGAAATGATATTCACAATTAGTAGCAGTACTTCATTAACTTACCTAATTTCTTCTTTGGTTTATGTTGTGATGACAGTCCATATTCATCTCTTCTATTAGCAGAAACAGTAACCTCATTACTGAATTGGTTCATGTCATTCTTACTGTCCATGGTGTTGGGGCCATCAATTTTTAAAATTTCTTTAAGCATCCGTGTTCCTTTCTTTTTATAAAAGATACATATGGAGATGTGAGGATGAAGAAAATAAACATTAGATTTATTAGATTTATACTGATCCTTCATTTTTTGAGGTTATTTTTCTTTTGAGGTGCTGTCCTTATGTCTGCTAGACAGGAGCTCTATCACGGGGCTACGTTCCCAGCCCTTTTTTTAGTTTGAAGAGTTCCACTGTTAAAAATTAAGATACAGGTGGCAAATGCCTTTAATTCTAGCACTTGGGAAGCAAAGGCAGGCAGATCTCTGTGAGACTGAGACCGGCCTGGTCTACATAGCGAGTTCCATGGCAGCTAAGGCTACAGGGAGATTCTGTCTCAAAAAGACCAAAGAAGAAAAGATAGTCGAGGGCTAAAAAAAAAAATTACATTTCAAGGTACATTCAAGGTACAGAAATAATACTTATCTTATTTAACTTTTAGCCTAGTCACTTAAAAAGCAGGGATCTGTGGTCTAAAGAGAAAACAAAAACAAACACCCCAGGCTCACTGAGGCAAAGTTTGAGTAGCTGGGTGGGCTTTGTATGCTTGGCTAACAGAGGAGAAGTTATCATAGGACAGAGGTGCTGCAACATACGAACCATAGCAAACGACTGTGGTGACAAGTGCTCTTCATTTGGAGGTTCTCCATGGTGAGCTGACGGTATTTCACTTTCCTTAGTGATATTCAGAGATGCTAAAAAATTCTCAATTCCAGAGTTAGGCTAAAAGAACAAGTATGCATAGTGATGAAAGTAGAAAGATACAGTAAAAGACTAGATTTTACCCTCAAAATATTAGCATAATTTTCACATAATTATTTTTCCTAGATGTTAAAACTTGGAAAGAGAAACTGAATAAAGGATTTTTTTTTTTTTTTTTACCTTATCAACAGCATTTGGGTGACCAGTCACAACCTTCTGGGCTTCTAAGGTTCCTGGGCTTTCACTTCTCTTCAACAGTTTAATATTACACCTAGTAGCCCCTCTACAAGTCTAAAAAAAAAATCTTTTTGTGAAAATAAATTCATAGTTACTGTTTAGCAACATCCTAAATAACTGAACAATATTGTATTTTATGTACTGCTTTCTCTTCTATGGCATAAGAAATAAAAAGGGCCTGTAAAACAGAATGGCGAAAAATTGTATCTTTATCTTCATTTATCTATAAATGAGATTTAGCATTTCTTTCAATTATGAATACAGGCAATAAACCACTGATATGGCCTGCATGTTTACGCACACTTCCTCCATCCTAATGATGAAACAATAACCCTCCAATGGAATAGTATTGGAAAGGCAGATCTTTTTTTTTTTTAAACAGACTTTATTTTCCTCATATAAAAGCTCTAGGTAGTAGCCACAGCTAGAGCCTGGGTTCTCTGCACAGAGACTCTGGTGTGAGTTTTCTCAAGATGATTGGTGAATTCCTGACAGTGAGACTTGGTGAAGACCGTCTCTTTCCAGAGGTTAGGGGTCAGATAGCTGTAGGTTTTAGAGATGGCATCAAAGGTGGCCTTGGTGAAGTTGCCCATGATGGCCATGCAGCCCCTGGCTGATGTGTAGTGGTCATCAATACCAGCTATCAGCAGCTGCTTTGATCTTTATGAGATAATTAGGGTCAGATGAAGTCATGAGGTAGAGCATCCATGATGGGCTTAGCATCCTTAAAAGAAGAAAGAGAAGGCCAGGCGTGGTGGTACACGTCTTTGATCCCAGCACTTGGAAGATCTCTGTGAGTTCAAGGTCAGCCTGGTCTACATAGTGAGTTCTAGGCCAGCTGGGGCTACAGGGAGACTCTGTCTCAAAAAGACCAAAAAAAAAAAAAAGGAAGAAAGATAAAAGAGTCTTTTCCTTCTACCATGTTAGAATTTAAGGGGCTTAGGGCTAGAGAGGTGGCTCAGCAGTTAAGAACACTGGGTGTTCTTGCGGAAGACACAGGTTTGTATCCCAGCACCCACATGGAAGCTAACAACTGTCCGTAACTCCAGTTCCAAGGGATCCAACAGCCTCTTCTGTCCTCTGCAGGCATTGCACGGCACAGGTGCATTTACCTACATGCAGGCAATAGACGCATACACATAAAATAAAATTTCAAAAAAGCATTTAAAAAAAAAAAAGAATTTAAGGGGCCATGTAACTATAAGCCAGAAGGAAAGATCTTATAAGACAATAATAGCCTCTCAGTATTTCAATGTTGCTGTTTTCTCTTAAATTTATGTACTTTATTTTACTATTTAAAACATTATTCCAGCTGGGCATGGTGGTACACACCTGCAATCCTAGCACTCTTTAGGACGTAGAGGCAGGAGGATCAGGAGTTCAAAGCCAGCCTCAGCTACATAGTAAGTTAAGAGGCCAGACTAGGCTATATGAGACCCTGTCTCAAAGACAACAAAATTCTCCCAAACACTAAAAATAAATCATTATTCTGCCATTGACTTTATTTTTACTTCCAACTCTCTAAAACTGTTATGAAATAAATGTTTAATGTTTAAGCTACCAGAATATAGTACTTTTATTTTTAGCAGTTCAAACCAACCAAGAAATCCATAACAGCAATGTTTCTAACTGTATTTCAGCTTGTTTTAAAATTAAAAATATTATTTGAAAAATGATGATGGCTTCACTAATAGTTCAGAGGCTTCATTAAAGATGTACATTTTTAAAAACCAATCTCTTTCACAGAACAAAGCAGATTAGAGGATAAGAGTTTCAGAAGGGCCAGGTGTGCTAGCGCAAGCCTGTATTCCCAGTACTTGGGAAGTAGAAGCAGGGGGAGCAACAGTTCAAGGTCATCCTGAGTTACACTATGAGTTCAGAGGCCAACCTGTGCTACAAGAGACCCAGTATACAAACAAACCCCCCAAAATCTAATAAACAAAACGTTTCAGAAGAAAAGGACATTAAAAGTTAAGGGCAGGTGAAATGGCTCAAGCAGGTAAAGATACTTGCCACCAAGGCCAACTGCCTGAGTTCAATCTCCAGGGTCCACATAGTGGAAGAAGAAAGCCGACTCCATGTGCATGCCACAGCACCCACATCCATATCCATAACCAATAAATTATACAAATAAAGTATATTTAGTAGATTACTAGTTTATTACAGATTTTCTTTGTGGGAGGGCAAGGGTAGAAATTGAAGCAGGGTCTTTCACATATTAGGGAAGCACTGCATCACCGAGCTCCATGCCCAGCTCAAGAGATTCACTTAAAAAATGTGTATTAAAGTCAGGAGCACACCTTTAATCCCAGCAGAGACCAGGCAGAGGCCAGCCTGGTCTCCAGAGTGAGTTCCAGGCCACGTGGGGCTTCAGGGAAACTCGGTCTCAAAAAGACCAAAAAAAAAAAAAAAAAAAGTGCATTAAGTATATATTAAGGTATAATATATGCGCAGAAAAGTGCACATGTGGCACTCATGTCAAACTCTTTTGCCTCCCTAGTCCTGGGGTTAAGGTGTGCCACCACACCCAGCCTTATACTTACATATTTTGAGAAAAGCCTCAAGTGATCAATATTTTATTTCTGTTTTAAAGATAAAGTTGAAGCTGTTAAAAGCTGCTTAAGGTCACCCAACTATTAAGTGGCAAAATCAGGATTAGAGATGCAGCTATTTTCAAACCCAGGACTCCAGCTGGCAGCCTTCCGCTCAAGTAACTATGAATTCCAACAGATTCCTTATAGATTGTTGAAAAAGTTACTAAATTTAGTTAGATTCATACAACCACCAACTGCATTAAAAAAAAAAAATCTGGCTACTACAAATCGATTTCAAGAAAGCTTACCTGCTTATTGGATGACTTTTGTGACTGACACTCAGCTTTAGGACTCTTACATTCTTCCTTAACTAGAGACAAGAAAACAGAAATTTTGGTAAGTGAAAGAGCTTAACGAATACCAGTTAAATTTATCAAGTATTTACCATAGCAAAGTACTGTGCTTAAAATTAAAAGAATTTCAAGAATAGCCCCTCTCTGTCTGTCTCTGTTTCTGTCTCTCTCTCTCCCCTCTTCTTTTCTTGTCAATGCTGGGGATTGAGCCTTGTGCTCACCAGGCAAGTGCTCCCTGAGCATATCAAGGAACTTAAAATCCAGGGGAGAGAGAGAAGAGATAATTGCAGATAATCATAAAAGAAAAGGAACGTGGCCTCTAAATTTACTTTGAAGAATGGTAGATCCTCAAGTGCAAAACAGGAGGCTGAGTATTCCAGCAAAGGGAACAGTGGGAAAGACATGAAAGAAGAAAGGATGGGGCTGGAGAGATGGCTCAGTGGTTAATTAAGAACACTGGCTGTTCTTGCAGAAGATCCGGGTTTGAATCCCAGCACCCACATGGCAGCTAACAACTGCCTGTAACTCCAGTCCCAGGGGATCCGACAGCCTCTTCTGACCTCCGTGGGCATTGCACGACACGGATGCACTTACCTACATGCAGGCAATACATGCATACATGTAAAATAAAAATAACAAAATAAAAAAGAAAGAAAAAGGAATGTACTTCTCCAATTCTAAATAGACCAGTTTTGCTGGAGGTTAAGGACTAAAGTCAAACTCAGTGGAACTAAAGTAAGTGTGAGTCATAATCTGGTAGATATTGAAGAACATGGAATTAAGTTATATGCAACAGGCAACCAATCACAGAAAGGTTCTAAGCAGAACTGTGTTTTAGTAAAATTAAATATGAGGGGTCTGGAGAGCTGGCTCAGCAGTTAAGAGCACTGGTTACTCTTGCAGATGACTGGGGGTGGGGGTTTCAGTTCTCAGCACCCACATGGTGGCTAACAGTCTAACTCCAGTTCCAGTGGCTCCAATGCCCTCTTCTGACTTCCACGGGCATTGCACGACAAGGGTGCAATATATATATGCAGGCAAACACTCATACACATAAAAAGATTAATTATAAATAATACCCCATTGTTTAGAGTAAGAGACAAATTAGAAAGCTCTCTAAGAATATATAAAGGAAAGAGGATGAAGTAGTAGAGGGAGGACATGACATAAGATAGAGAGAACAGAAGACAATAAAGGAAATAAGGAAGACAGGAAGGAAAGGATGTAATCTTATAAAAAGAAATGAAAAAGTGACAACATATGGATAGTAAACCTTTGTTGACACATAGAATAACTGAATTACTATACAAACTATAATTTGAGGGAAAATTATAGTGCACTTGTGTTAAATATAAAACCTTCAGCTGAACAGGGTGATGCATATCTATAGTCCCAGTATATATAACCTATGTACCAAAGATGGTACCACTAGAAAATACTTTAAGATGAGTAAAAAGGAAAACATAGGGCTGGAGAGATGGCTCAGTGGTTAAGAGCACTGGCTGCTCTTGCAGAGGACCGGGGGTCAACTCCCAGCACCCACAGAATGGCTAACAACTGTCCATAACTCTAGTTCCAGGGGATCCAATGCCCTCTTCTGACCTCCATGGGCACTGCGTGATATGAATGCACTTACATACATGTAGGCAATACACTCATACACATAAAAATATTAAAAAAGGAAAACATACTATTCCCAAATTTATGAAACACAGCCAAAGTCATACGTTGAGGGAAATTTACAACTGCAAATGCCTATCTTAAGAAGGAAGAGGACAAGCCGGGCGTGGTGGTGCATGCCTGTAGTCCCAGCACTCGGGAGGCAGAGGCAGGTGGATCTCTGTGAGTTCAAGGCCAGCCTGGTCTACATAGTGAGTTCCAGGACAGCTAGGGCTACATGGCAACCCCAAGACCAAAAGAAAAGAATAAAATAAAAAAGAAGAGGACCAGAGGACAAGTGTGGTGGCTCATGCCTATAATCCCAGTATTTTTTTTTGACAGAATCAGATCACCTGGAAGTCCCAGATCACCTGGAAGTCACTATGTAGACCAGGCTGTCCTCTATCTCACAGAGAGCCACCTGCCTCTGCCTCCCGAGGGCTGAGATTAAAGGCATGCACCACTATGCCCGCCTAATCCCAGTAATGGGAGGCTGAGGCAGGACTGCTATGAGTTTGAGCCCAGGAAGAAAAGGAAAAGGAGAAAGGTTTCAAATCCATAATCTAATCTTTTATCTTAAGAAACCAGAAAAAGGGGGCTGAAGAGATGGCACAGTGGTTAAGAGCATGTATTGCTCTTCCGGAGGACCCACATCAGGTGGCTCACTATCACCTGTAATTTTAGTTCCAGGGGATCTGACACCTCCGGCCTCTGTGGACTCCAGTATTAATGTACATATACACAGCTACACACATACATATACACGATTAAAAATAAAATAAAAAATTAAAAAAAAGAAAGTAGAAAAAGGACATTAAACCCAAAGAAGATGGAAGGAACTAGTAGAGGTTAGTGTGGAAATAAATGAAATAGAGAATAGAAAACCGAAAAAACCAACAGAAATCAGAATTTTGTGTGTGTGTGTCTGTGTGTATGGTTCATATGCACTTGTGTTCATACAAGTGTACATGTGTGTGGAGGCCAGAAATCAACATTGAGTGTCTTCCTTAATAGCTCTCCACCTTAATTTTTGGGACAGAGTCTCTCAATGAACCCAGAGTTCACCAATTTGGCCAGACTGGCTGGCCAGTGAGCTCCAGGGACTCTACTGTCTCCACCCACTCCCAGCACTGGGGTTACAGAAGTTTGCTGCTATGTCCAGCTTTTATGTGGGTTTTATGCTGGGGATTCAAACTCAGGTCCTCATGCTTCTGTGGTAGGCACTTTATTGACTGAGCCAAATTCCTAGTCCCTTGGAGCTTTTATTTTGAGATGGCATCTTACTGGGTTACCCAAGCTGGCCTTGAACTTCTAGGTGAAAGTAATCCTCTTCTAACAAAAAGAAGACATAAAGAACTAAAATCAGAATTGGGGGCTGGAGAGATGGCTCAGTTGTTTGGAACACTGGCTGCCCTCGCAGAAGACCCAGGTTAAGGTTCTCAGCACCCATATGACAGTCAATAACCATCCTTTACTTCCAGAGGATATAACACCCTCTTCTGGCCTCCATGGGCACTGCATGCATGGGTACACTTACATACAATGCAGGCAAACTATTCATACACATGAAACAAATAAATCACAAAATTTAAAACAGACATGAAAGCAGGAATATTATCATTAGTCTTACAAAAATAAAAAGCCTATAAAGAAATGCTTGGCTACTATATGGTAACAACTCAGATAACCTAGATAAAACAGGCAGATTCCTATAATGAAACACACTATTTAGGTGAACTCATCTGGAAACCAACAATCTGAATAGCACTGTAACAAGAGACTGAATTACTAAGTATAAAAATTTCCCATTAAAAAAGTGGGAAGGGTGGGGTGCAGGAAGGGTAGGTAAATGAGGTTGGACTTGATCAGTGTGTGCTGTATTCATGTGTGGAAATATGCTGAATTCAATTAAATATGTAAAATTAATATATACCAATAAGTAAGTGAAAATAAAACCAAAATCATCCCACAAAGAGCAGAAAGTCTCAGGTCCAGATGGCTTTACTGGTGAATCCTAGCAAACATTTAAAGAGGAAATAACACCATTCTTTCCAAAACTCTTCCAAAAAAAGATGAGGAGGAACTATTTCTCAGTTTTTTTTTAATGAGGCCAGTATTACCATGATACTGAAATCAAAGCCATTCCAAAACAATTAAAATTATCCCTTTTGAATACAGATGCCAAAAAATTCCAAAAAAAGTAAAAACAATAAAAAACCCCCCAAACCCTAACCCAGCAAACTAACTCCTACAGTATAGAAAAAGGATCATATGTTGTCACCTAGTAGGGCTTTCCCTAAGAATGCGAAGTTGGTTCAACATATGAGATATAATCAGTTGGACGCAGATAAGTTCAATAGAGGGCAAATCATCACAAGAGATACAGAAGAAAAAAATTAAGAGTCTGTGGGTAGGGGACAGGGAGGAGATAGCTCATGTGGTAAAGTGTCTGCTACATAAGCATGAGTATCTAGGTTTGGATCCCCAGAAACGAATTAAAATCTGGGCATGGAACCATGTGTTTGCTACTCCAGTGCTGGGGGAAGGGTAGAGACAAGAAGGTTCCTGGAGCTCATTGGTAATTTGTCAAGTCAATCACTGAGCTCCAAGTTCAGAAAGATTCTGTCTCAAAAGATAAGGTAGATGAGCTGGTAAAATGGCTCAGCAGGTGAAGGTGCTTGCCGCCAAGCCTGACAACATGTATTTGATCCCTAAGACCCATATAGTGAAAGGAGAGAACTGTGTATACCCACATATACAAAATAAATAAATATAATAAAAATTTTAACAAAAAAGGTGAAGAGATCAAAGAATATAGCTGACTTTGACTTCTGGCCTCCACAAATAGGCACACACAGATATAGACATGCATGTGCATGTGCATGCACACACACACACACACTCACATAAACATATATTAACTCCCCCCCCACCACATAAACTAATTTAAGGATCTAGGGAATGTAACTCCACAGTATTTTTTGCCTAGCAGGTGTGAGGTCCTAGGTTCAATCCTCAGAACTGAAAAAAAAAAGAAAGAAGAAAAAAAAGTAAAGAAAGAACACTTAATAAAATCTAGTATTCCTTCAAGATAAAAATAAGAATTGGGAATATAGATATAGAATATTCTCATTTATTTTTCAAGAGACAGAGATAATTATAGAGTTCCACAACTGGTCACACACACAGACTGTCTGAGAATTGCCCAAATCTAAGTGGCACATCTAGGATGCAACCTCTACACCTAAGGCTCACAGACCACAGTACACTAATGTTTCTTTCAGCTTTTATCAATGAAGTTCCCTTGTGCAAGAGAGGGCCAGAATGCAAAAGGTCACAAATGACCAAAACACAGAGAATAAGAGTCTGCAGAGTGTGTGTCCTTGGACAGAACTCCTATATTAAAACCCACCCACTGAGGGCTCAGGGACCATTGCAGAAGGGGAGCGGGGCAGAAAGACTGTAAGAGCCAGGGAGGAGGTGCATGACCATACAGAAATAGTCCTACAGGTGCCTGGGACCCTTCTCATACAAACCTACAGTAATGGTGTCAGAATGCACAAGACCCAAGCAAACTTAAGCAGACAAAAACTCAGCACAGAACTGTGGAAATGAACAGCAGCCCCAACCACAGTCAAAGAATTATTGGCAGCTGATTACTGCTGGGTGAGGAAGAGCTGATCTTAAAGGGAGGGACTCTAGATAGGTTGACTAGATCCCAGTGCATGAACTTGCACTGAGGGACATTTGGGGACACTAACCTTACATAATAGGCAGTAATACAAATGACAGAATGTATGGACTCCAGTGGGGGGCTATGGGAGGGTATCAAAGGGAAAGGAAGCATAAAGATGATTTTCTGTATGAAATGCACAAAATTCAATAAAAAATTTAAAAAATTTCACTTAATAGAAGACATTGAAACCCACAGCTACAATCATGTAACATAACAGTGAAAGACTGAGAGCTTACTTTCAAGATAGAGATAAGGCAAGGAAGCCTCCTCTTTCAATGCTATATTAGTAGTGCTAACCAGAGCAATTAGGGCTAAAAACAAAAGAAAGGCATCCAGATTGTATAAGAAGTAAAATTCTATTTGTAGATGCCACAACGGGTTCAGTGGTTAACCTTCACTGTTACCTTGACTGGATTTAGAATCATCCAGGAGTCATACTTCTGGGAATCTCTGTGTGGATGCTTGTAGAGAACTTTAACTGGGAAGGAAGGACTCACCCTGAATGTGGGTGGCACTATCCCATGGGCTTAAGTCCTGGACTTAACTCAGTACAGGAATAAAGGGATAAAGAGAAAGTAAGTTGAGTACCAACATTCATCTCTTTCTTCTTCCAAACTACAGGTGCAAATGTGAACAGCTGCCTCATACTCCTGCCACCACGGCTAGAGCCTCTCTTGCTGCCAAGGCTCCCCAGCAAAGGATGGACTATACCCTCAGTCTGTGAGCCAAAGTAAACCTTTCAGTCACTAGGTTGCTTTTGTCAGGTATTAACATCAATATATAAGTTCGTTTTATTTCCATAAATATAAATCAGCAATCTAAAAATAAAATTAACAACACAGTTCCACTGCTAATAGCATTAAAAATAATGCAGGAATAAACTTACAAAATAAGTAATTGAAACAATCTTGAAAAAGGCAAACAAAGCTGGAAGACTCAAACTGATTTCTAAACTTATAAGAAAGCAACAGTAATGATGACAGTGTATTGTTTGCATAGAGGTTTATAGATCAGTGGAATGGAACCGAGAGCCCAGGAATAACCACAAAGATGGATGGTCAACTGATTTTTAATAGGGGTACTAGGTGAATTCAATGGGGAAAGGATAGTATTTTAACAAATGGCGTTGAGACAGTGCAAAAGATACAAAAGAGTGAACACTCCTTCCTCATTCCATACATAAATGTCCACTCAAAGTGAAAAAAGAGACCTAAATATAAATGCTAAGACTATAAACCCCTTTATTTTTTTTTGAGACAGCATCTCACTGCATGGCCCTGGCTGGCCTGGAACTCACTATGTAGACCAGGCTAGCCTGGAACTCATAGAGATCCATCTGCTTCTGCCCCCGCCCTTTGTCTTTTTTTGAGACAGGGTCTCCTTGTAGCCCCAGCTGTCCTGGAACTCACTATGTAGAACAGGCTGGCCTCGAACTCACAAAGATCTGCCTGCCTCTGCCTCCCAAGTGCTGGGACTAAAGGTGTGTGCCACCACGCCTGGCTTATAAAGCCCTTTAAAAAGCACTCAGGATGCTGAGGAAGCAGGTCTGTTCATGGCCAGTCTGGGTTACACAGAGAGACTGTCTCTCTAAAAACCAAGGAAGTAAGCAAACAAATCCTTTAGAAGAAGAGATATAACTCCTTATGACTTTATATTTGTCAATACCAAAGGAATAAGTAACATAAAAAGAGTCGGAAAAAAACCCATAAATTAGACTTCATAAATATTAAAAACTTTCAGGTATAAGCACACTATAAAGAAAGTTAAAAGACAATCCAGGCCGGGCGTGGTGGCAAATGCCTTTAGTCCCAGCACTAGTGAGTTCCAGGGCAGCTGGGGTTACGGGGGAGACCCTGTCTCAAAAAAGACCAAAAAAAAAAAAAAATCCATAGAATGGTAGGAAGTATTGGCAAACTATGTACCTGCCAAGTATGCAGAATCTAGTATATAAGTAACTTTTGTTTCATTTTGTTTGAGCTGGTCTGAACTCACTATGTAGACCAGGCTGGCCTCAAACTCAGAGAGATCACCTGCCTCTGCCTCCTGAGTGCTGGGATTAAAGCCATGTACCACTATGCCCAGCATATATGTAACTTTTACTAAGTCAAAAGGAAAAAGGCCATACAATTAAAAATAAACCTAGCCTGGGCATGGTGGTGTAGGCCTATACCTTAGCACTGGGGAAGCTAAGGCAGGTGGAACATGAAGGCTGATGACATTTAATAATGACAACAAGCCCTTAGGATTTGAACAGACATTTCTCCAGACTGTCTCCAGAAGGCAAGATAGTCAATAAGCAGACGAAAATCTACTCAACATTATTAGACATTAATGAATTGCAAAACAAAATTACATGGAGATTCTACTTCACAGTCTACTATGGCTATTATCAAGGAAATGGACACTGTGGAAAAATTGGGCTACATTTTCCAGATAGAAATGTAAAATCATATAGTCACTTTGAAAAGCAATTTGGTACAGTTACCATATGACTCAGTAATTCTACTCCTAAGTATATACTTAAAATTATAATCATTTGTTCTCATAAAAATTTGTATATAGATATTCACAACACCATCATTCATTATAGCTCCAAATGCCCAACAGTGGATTAGTGGACAAAGGAAAATATGATATCCACACAAAGGACTATTAGTCAGTCATAAAACCAAGTATTTATTGATGCTATAACATGATGTCAAGCACCATGATACATGATTGAATATATCATGCCAAGTAAAAGAAGCTAGCTATAAAAGGTCACACTTTTTCTTATTCTATTTATGTGAAAGGTCCAGGATAGATAAATAAATACACAGTAAATTAGTGGTTGCTATGGTGGTGTATAGCTTTAATCCCAGCACTCAAGAGGATGAGGCAGGAGGATGGACATTAGTTCAGGGCTAACAAATAACCAACTAAGAATAAAAAAAGAAAGAAAAGAAAAAAAAATGAACTGTTTTAGGGGAGATAAAAATGCTTTATATTGGGCTAGAGAGATAGCTCAGCAGTTAAGATCACTTGGCTGCTCTTGCAGAGGACCCAGGTTCGACTCTCAGCACCCACATGGTGGTTAACAACTGTCCCTAATTCCAGTTCCAGGAAATTCAATGCCCTTGTCTGACCTCCTTGGGCACTACACAACATAGGTGTACTTACACGCATGCAGGCAATACCCTCATATACATAAATAAAAAATATTTTAAAAATGCTCTATATTTAGATAGAGGTATGGATTGTTCAACTTGGTGAGGATACCACAAAACAAAAACAAAACAAAACGAAACGAAACAAAACAAATCCACAAAAAAACCCAAAACACTGACTATATACTTTAAAAGGATGACTTTATTTCTATTTATCTAAAATTTTTTAAAGATTACAATTATTTGCTCTGTGTGTGTGTGTGTGTGTGTGTGTGTGTGTGTGTGTGTGTGTGTGTGATGGCAGTTATGTGGAGGTCAGAGGACAATTTAGGGAGTAGCTTCTCTCCTTCCACCATGTGAGTCTTGGGATCAAATTCGGGTTGCCAGGCTTGCATGGCAACTACCTTTTCCTGCTGAGCCATTTTTCTGACGAATTTATCTGATAGTATGTGAATTATATTTCAATAAAGCTTTTTTTTTATTTAAAGGAAGCAGATAGCACATAAATATACTTTTCTAACTTAAAACTTACATTTTCTGTGAGGGTCATGTTTTCTTTGCTGGTATTTAACACTGTTGTCATTAAAGCTGGATTTATGTTGTTGAGTTACTTGACTTATTTCTTGAGGTGGAACTGTACCCTGAAAGTTAAAATTCTCATACATTAATTAAGCAGACCTTAATATAATTCTTTTCCTACTTTAACTAATAAAATTTTAATGAAAATCTTTAGAAAAAAAATCCCTAAAGCTGTACAGAATTTTCAAAACTCACCAAAAATCACTATAGAAATAGGAATTATTAACATAATGGCCACCACTCCACGTACTTTATGCATTAGTTAGAAAGCAAGAGAGATACTAAATATACATTTCCAAAAGTGCGCTTTACAACAGAATGGATCTGAACTAATTTTGAAGATAACAAATACAGAAACTAAAGAAAAGCCTTCAAAACAAAATTACCTGTAGTATAAGTGGGGATAGGGAGTAGCAATCATAGAAGAACTGGGGTGGGACATGGAGCAAGCTGATGAGATTTCTCCTCATTCCTTTATGATAAAGTTCCACTAAAAAGGTTTTTAAAAATTCAATTTTTTGTCTGTATTTTATGAAAGTTGAGGATATTAATTTTTTGGTCTTTTTGAGACAGGGTCTTTCTATAGCCCCAGCTGTCCTGGAACTCACTATGTAGACCAAGGTGGCTTTGAACTCACAGAGATCCGCCTGCCTCTGCCTCCCGAGTGCTGGGATCAAAGGCATGCGCCACCACGCCTGGCTCAATAGCTGATTTTTAAAATTAATATTTATATTGTCAAATGACAAAATTTTACTACCACACAGCAAGACTTACCACAAAACCACAGTAATTAAGACAGTTTATAAATAAACACAATTAGTAAAATGGCATGAGTTAAGTTTCACATAAACATTCTAGAAGATCCTTTTTCTGTGTGTATGTTTGCCTGCAGAGGCCGGAAGAGTGCGTCAGATCCTCTGGAGCTGGAGTTACAGCAGTTGTGAATTGTCTCATGTGGGTGCTGGGAATTGAACTCAGGTTCTTTGGAAGAACAGCAAGTGCTCTTAACCCACTGAGCTATCTCTCCATTCACCTCCCTCCACCCCCTGACCCCCATTTCTTGTTTCTATAGGGAGAGAAAGTCTGAAGGCAAAAAGGAACTACTGCAGTTGAATCCCAAAAGGAGGCAACAGTGGAGGCTGGAGATCTTTAATACAAAGCATTTCATCATTCTGCTTTTGGCAAGTCCTATTTCTTTTCAATTCTGGGTGCAAAGGCACATTATGTCCTAACTGGCACTGAGTGTGCTCTAAAATACTTGTGATATGCAGTGGAGTGGGAAGAACTATCCAGTGAGCTCACAATTACAGGAACAGCCAGGACTTTCAGTCTTTTAACAGTTAAAAGGCATGTGTTTTCTATCATGGCACAGAGGCTGGTAGAGCTTTTGGGTCCAGCAGCACTTTATGAGGGATTTTGAGTCTAAGGAAGGGAATTAAAACACTAGGCTCAGTAGATAGATAGGGAGCTGGAGAGATGCTACAGAGGTTAGGAACATGTGCTGTTCTTGCAGAGGACCCAGGTTCGGTTCCCAGCACCCACATGGTGGCTAACAGTGGGCTGTAACTCCAGTTTCAGGGGATCCGATGCTTTCTTCTGACCTCTGAAGGTACCAGCCCACATGTGGTACATAAATACATGCAGGTAAAATACTCATACACATAAGAAATAACAATAACTAAATAAAAAGAAGCCAGACTGCAACATGGTAAGGTTCAAATGAGGATAGAGTGGAGAAATTAGGAGAGCCCTTTGGAGAAGGGGAAATGGTTGTTATCCTCCTTAATGCTTTCATCCTCTCGCTTTCTCTCTGATCCTTCCATCACCCTTTGGCAGTTTCTTATCATGATGGCCCTGCATTTGTCATCAACCACCTGGCACCCTTCCTTTAGGATGAACTCAGGAAGCACCATTCTCCCATGGCCTCTGCCTAACAAGCAGGCCCCAGGACCAGTGGAGCTCTAGCTAGATTAAAAACCAGGCATAGAGGTCAGTGCTAGAGCACTTGTCTAGCATACACAAGGCTTTGGGTTGATTCCCAGCTCTTCCCAATAACTGACATTTGAGCTCAAATTACAAAATCCAAATTCAAAGTACCATTTCAGAAAAGATGTGTCATATTAAATGGAAAGCAAATGTTGTGTTTGAGAATATAGTTCTTTGGGTTACTCCATTTGATGTCTCTTGAAAACTATTTGTGTTGGGCACATTGCTGTATTTCACCAATAAATGCCTGGATTAAAAAAATATCTTGACGAGTTCTCTCAAATCTGCTTATCACCTGAATATCAGGGTTAGGCTACTTAATACTTCATGACTCAAGTGTTGTATTAGGTGCTTTCAATTCCTGTAACATACCTAAGATAGGTAAAACATGACAGTGCGCAGCTGAAATAAACTGAATTTCATGCAGAAGATTATGAAAGAATATATCCATGGAGCTGGAAAGATAGCTCAGAGATTAAGAGCACTGATTATTCTTACAGAGGACCTGGGTTCAACTCTCAGCACCCACATGGCAGCTAACAACCATCTTTAACTCCAGTTTCAGGAGATCTGACACCCTCTTCTGACCTCCTTGGGCATTGCACAACACGGGTGCACTTACACACATGCACGCAATACATTCATACACATAAAATGAACAAAAATAATGAATAAAAATATTAAAAATTAAAAAAAGACTATATCCATGAGTCTCAGGAAATAGCAGACCTTGACTTAGATCTAGACGGATTTCAGTAGTGAAGGAAGAGAGGATATTCTAAGCAGAAGGAAAAAGAACACAATCCCAAATGGGAATCATTTGTTTGTGGGAAAGGAAAAGTAAAAAGAGCATTCTGGGGGCTGGAGAGATGGCTCAGCAGTTAAGAACACTGACTATTCTTGCAGAAGACCCAGGTTCGAATCCCAGCACCCATATGGCAGCTAACAACTGTCCGTAACTCCAGTTCCAGGGGATCTGACAGTCTCTTCTGTGCTCTGCAGGCATTGCATGACACGGGTGCACTTACCTCCATGCAGGCAATACATGCATACACATAAAATAAAAATAATAAATAAAATTAAAAAAAAAAGATCTGATGGGAACAAACTAGTTTACCAAATAGCTGGACATATTTTATATGGTGTTGTTATGCCATTGGACCAGAGTTCTCAGAGGTTCCTGTTCTAAGAGAAAGAACTGAAGGAAAGATACTCAGCAAAGACAGTCTATTAGAGCAGCGTAAAGGTGTACTCTCTCAAGACAGAGAGTAGGCAGGCTCAAGAATGAGTGTTTATTCTAATGGTCTTTGGAACCTAAGTTTTTTTTTTTGTTTGTTTGTTTGTTTTTTTTCCCACAGGGTCTCCCTGTAGGCCCAGCTGGCCTGGATCGAGGCTGGCCTCGATCTCAGAGATCCACCTGCCTCTGCCTCCCAAGTGCTGTGATTAAAGATGTGTGCCACCAAGCCCTGCATACAAGGAGCCTGAGTTTTTATTAGGGTCTTGGTCTTGTCCATACATCACAGATCCTTTCCATACATCCAGTGGGAGACATTAAAATTTTTTAAATTTATGCCTATGTGCATGTGCATCTGGTGTGTATATATGCATGGCACTCTCAGAGACCAGAATAGGGTGTTGGATCCCTGAGAGTTGGACTTACAGGTTGTTGTGAGTCACCTGATATGGGTGCTGGAAACTGAACTTGGGACCCCTGGAAGAGCAGCATGCATTCTTAACCACTGAGTGACCTCTGCAGCCCATTTGGGAGACTTTTAAATCTTGAGTGGTCTGGGGGGGGGGCTGGAGAAATGGCTCAGCAGTCAAGAGCACTGGCTGCTCTTGTAGAGGACCTGGGTTCAGTTCCCAGTACCCACATGGCAGCTAACAACCATCTATAACTCCAGTTCCAGGATCTGATGCCACAGGCATTGCACAACACGGTACACTTACATACATGCAGGCAAACCACTCATACAGATAAAATAAAATTCAATAAATTTAAGGGGCTGGAGAGATGGCTCAGCGGTTAAGAGCACTGACTACTCTTGCAGAGGACTAGGGTTTGATTCCCAGCACCCACATGGCGGCTACAAACTGTCCTTAACTGCAGTTCCAAGGGAATTCGAAGCCCTTTTCTGATCTCCACAGCATCGCATGACACAGGTGCACACACATATATGTAGGCAATACACTCATACACATAAAAATAATAAATAAAAATATTTAAAAAATTTAAATCTTGAGTGGACTGATAGGTACTGTCCCAGCACATAGATAGGTGCTGGAGTCACCCAGGCCAAAATGCACTTAAAAAAATTTTTATTTTTCTGGGTATGGTGGTGCATGCCTTTAATTCTAGCACTTGGGAGGCAGAGGCAGGCAGATCTTTTATGAGGCCAGCGTTGTGTACATAATGAGTTCCAGACCAGCTGGGCTGCAGGGAGACTCTGTCTCAAAAAGACAAAAAAAAAAAAAAAAAAAAAAAACCAAACCAAAAAAAAAAAAAAAAAACCAAAACCAATTTTGGGGGCTGGAGAGATGGCTCAGCAGTTAAGAGCACTGGCTGCTCTTGCAGAGGACTCAGGTTCTAATCCCAACACCCACATGGTAGTTAATGACTGTCTGTAACTCCAGTTTCAGGATTCTGACCCCCTTATCTGCTCTGTGGGTTTTGCACAACACAGGTGCATTTACATACATGTAAATATGACACTTACACACATAAAATAAAAATAAATTCCCCCACCCAAATCCATTTCTAAGCTGTTGTTTTTGGGCCAGTTATTTACTAGCAGTCAGCTTATCTTCCATATCAGTTATAGATTATAAAAGGCCCTATCAGTTTAAGGAGTCTGAGTTTGGATTCTAATAGTACTAAACAGGGAGCCTTGTACATTTAAAAGTATCAAAACAACACATTTAGGGCTGTGAAAGAGCTCAGAGGTCTTCAATGCCTTCATTTTATGTATGCAGTCACAGTAGTACAGAGAAATAGATTAGCTCAATTTGAGCCAGAAAAATCTGAATTCCTGATCCCAAGGTTCAATACTTAACACAATCCAGTGCTTTAGAGCATAAAGTGATTTTGAACCCAGAAGATACTTTACCCAATTATGCCTTGAGGCCAACACAGGTGAAAAGATCTTCAAGAAAGACCAATTAGGAAATACTGTAACAAAGAACTCTAAGTGAAAGAGATTAAGAAACAGAAAAGCATAGAACAGAGGTTAGTTCAGGACTGAGTTGAAACTCTATAAATTGTTGGAACAAAGAAAGAATTGAAAGGTTTAGGGTCATGTTTCAAAAAAGATAGCTAGAAAGCATCTAAAAATTTCTTATAGGGGTGACAGCACTGTTTGAGGCACGGAAGTTGGAGCAGGAAGTCAGTGTGGGCAGAAGAGGGAATAAGCAGGGACTCAGAGCTGAGGAAGTAAAAATTTTTTATTCCAGGCTTTTTAGATTATATGACTGAGCAAATGATGGTGTTAGAAATAAGAATAAGAAAAGACAAGGCTGGAGAGATGGTCCAGTGGTTGAGAGCACTGGCTGGCCTTGCAGAGGACTTGGTTCAATTTCCAGCACTCACATGGTGGCTAACAACCATACATAACTCCAATTCTGGGGGCATCCAATGCTCTCTTCTGACCTCCTTGGGTACTGCATGACACACGTACACTTACACACCTGTAGGCAGTACACATATACACATAAAATAAAATAAATCAGAGAAGAGTCTTTGAGATTGATGAGATGCTGGAGTATCTAGATATACCACTTCTTTGAAGATTGGAAATATTGGATTAAACCTTGACTGGTAGGTTAAAGGGGAAAAGGAAGTTTATTCAGTGTAGCAGAACAGTTTTTAAGTGAAAACATGGAGAAGCAAAAGCTAATAACGATGAACCAATAGGTATAAGAGGATATTCAGAGAAATGTTTCCATTCATTTGTTCATTCATTAAAAGACAAAGTCTTGCTGTGCTACCTATGCTGGTTCTGAACTCCTGGGCTAAGGGATTCTCCAATCTCAGCCTTCTGAGTTGCAGCGGATAGCTGGGACTACAGGTAAATGCCATTGTGCACAGCTTGCTAATGCTTCCTTATAGAGCAAAATTATCTGAGCTGGCATAATAGTGCGTGCCTGTAATTCCAACACTTGGGAAGCAGAGACAGGGAATGAGGAGTTAAAATATTTATTCTTATTATTTTTACTTATGTGTGTGTGCCCTGTCTGTGCATGCCTGTGGAGGGAATCTGACCCCCTGGGGCTGGAGTTGCAGGCAGTTGTGAACTGTCTGATGTGGGTGCTAGGAACTGAACTCAGGTCCTCTGGAAGAGCAGTAAGTCATTTTAATCACTGAGTCATTTCTCCAGCTCCTTTCCTTTTTCTCTTAAACTTATTCTAAGCAGTCCTTTACTCTTGTCAATGTAGTGAAACTGCTCTTGTTAAGGTTTCCAAAGATCTTGATAAATCTTATATTCAATACATAGCTTTTAGGTGCTAGAGATTGAGGCCAAGACCATACACATGCTAGGAAGGTACTCTATCACTGAGAGAAATCCTTAGTTGCAACATTTTTAATGTAAAAATTAAAAAAAATTACACTTATTTGTGTGTGTGTATGCATGTGCACATGCATTGTGTACACCACAGTGTATGTGTGCAGGTCAAAGATAACTTGTGGGAGTTGGTTCTCTCCTTTCACTGTGAGTCCAGAGGGATTGAACTCAGGGGATCAGGCTTGGTGGGAGGCATCTTTTCCTACCAAGTCATCTCACTGGCCACTGGCCCTATTTTATAGGTTTTTTTTTTTTTTTTTCCTTTTAATCATTATTTTTCCAATTTTCTCATCCCTGGCTCTGATGATGCCTCCACTACTACTGGACATTAAAACAGATGAGATTTTACTTGCACAGGCTACTGGTTTGTAAACTTAATAGAACATTCTTTTTTGACCTAAACTGAGAAATCTGGTCAGTAAAAAATGAATTTAATACAAATTCTTTTTTGTGTGTATTTGTGTATGCAGAGATGTGTGTGAGTATGTGTGAATGTATATGTATGTATGTGTAGGCCATAGGTCAACCTGGGGTTTTCTTCCTCCTCAGGTGTGGTGAATCTTGTTTTGAGATCTGGGGCTTACCAAAGTAGTCTAGGTTGCTTGACTAGTGAGTTCCATGGATGTGTCAGTTTTTGCCTTCCAAGTGCTGGGATTATAAGCATGTGTCACCATGCCTGGAATTTACATTAAATGTTGAGGACTGAACTCAGGCCCATAAGCTTACATAACAAGTACTTTACTGATTGAGCTATTTTTCCAGCCCTAGGAATGTTTTTTGCTTTTTGACAAGGTTTCATAGTACCTTAGGTTGACCTCAAATTCCCTATGTGGCTGAGACTGGCCTTTGAGTTCCTAATCCTCCTGGCTCTACCTCCTGAGTGCTGTGATCATAGGCATATGCCACTATGTGTGGCAGAATTCATTCTTTGGTGTGTATGTATTTGTACAAGTGTATATATGTGTATTGGGTGTTTTCCTCAATTGCTTTCCACTTAATTTTTTGAGACAGGGTCTTTTATTTATTTAAAATTTTTTCTTTTTTTTGGTCTTTTTGAGACAGGGTCTCCCTGTAGCCCCAGCTGTCCTGGATTCACCATGGAGATAAGGCTGGCCTCGAACTCACAGAGATCCGCCTGCCTCTGCCTCCCGAGTGCTGGGATTAAAGGCATGCGCCACCATGCCTGGCCTATTTATTTAGATTTTTATGTGTATGAGTGTTTTGCCTGAATGTCAGTGTACCCTTGTCATACAATGCCTGTGGAGGTCAGAAGAGGGTGTCAGATCCCCTGGAACTGGAGTTACAGAGGTTGTTGGCCACCATGTGGGTGCTGGGAACTGAACCTGGGTCCTCTGGAAAAGCAGTCAGCATTCTGATCCACTGAGTCCTCTCTCTAGCCCCAAGGCAGGGTCTTTTACTAAACTTGGAGAGTTCAAGTGATTTGGCTAGACTGGTTGGCCATTGAGTTGCAGGGATCCTCTTCTTTAATTTTTTTATTTACTGTTTTTATTTTATGTGTCGGGGTATATTGCCTACATGTAAGTAAGTGCACCGTGTTGTACAATGCCCACAGAGGTCAGAAGATGGAGTCAGATTCTCCGAACTGGAGTTATGGATGGTTGTTAGCCACTATGTGGATGCTGGGAATTGATCCCTGGACTTCTGCAAGGGCAGTAAGTGCCCTTAACCTCTGAGCCACCTCTCCAGCTGCCCCCAGAAATCCTCTTCTGTCTTTCTCCCCAACACTGGGATACATGCACACACTGTTGCACTGCACCTGGCTATTGTTGTTTTGTTTTGTTTGGAGACAGGGTCACCCTGTAGCCCCAGCTGGCCTCTATTCCATAAAGAAACACCTGCCGCTGCCTTCTTAGTGCTGGGATTAAAGGTGGCCTGGCCACCTGGGTTTTTTATTTGGGCGCTGGGGATCAAACTCCAGTCCTCATGCTTGCGCGGCGCTTTACTAACAGAGTCATCTTCCTAGCCCCTCTTTTGTCTTTACTTCTTGGTCTGAATCTCTACTCTCTAGACATTTTCTCTTTTGTCTTGTCTTATTTGGCAGTGCTAGGGATTAAACCTATGTGATTAAAGGAAGCCTGTATCACTCATCTATAGTCTCAGTCCTCTTTGCTCCTCTAGTTTCTATAAATTTTGTTTGTTCATATTTAAGAAAACCTACTCCCAGCGTATTATATGTTCAAGTAGAAAAAATAAGCTTATGAATGCCATTAAAGCATTTGCTAATTTTAAAATTATTACAATTTTTTAAGTAACTAATAGAGAACAAAAGAAAAGAAAACAAAACCCAAAACTAGTTTCAAAGAGAAATTATGGGGCTGGAGAGATGACTCAACAGTTAAGTGCACTTGCCGCTCATGCTAAGTTCAGTTCCCAGCACCCAAATGACAGCTAACAACCAGCTGTAACTGTAGTTCCAGCAGATCCGATGCCCTCCTCTGACTTCTGCAAGCAACAGGCATGTACGTGGTGAAAATATACACATGAAAGCAAACACACACATACATATATATAAAATAAAAATAATTGTTTTACTAGTGCAAATATTTATATGTCTGACATGAATTTTAAAAATTCATGATTAAAACTGTTATTTGATATTTTATGAGATTTTAGGGAAAGATGGCATTGCAAAAATGAAAATTTTTTTTTTCTATAAAACTAATTGTTGACGAACAAAGAATACTAACCTTTTCTTGCACAGTTGGCTGAAAGTGCTGAGTTTTTCCAGATTCCTGTAAAGACTGCCAAATATTGCAAAATTCATCATCACCTTTTGTAGGTACCTAGCAAATCACAAATAATTTCTATATGAAACATGATGAAATATTCATATTAAAAATAAAATTTATTAAAATTATTCACTGGTGGTCTGGAGAGATGGCTCAGTGGCTAAGAGCACTGGCTGTTCTTACAGAGGACCCAGGTTTGGTTCCCAGCACCCACATGGCAGCTAATAATTGTCCGCAACTCCAGTTCTAGGGATTCTAATGCCCTCTTATGATCTCTACAGGCATTGCATGACATGTGTACACTTACACATATGCAGGCAATACAGTGATACACATAAAATAAAAATAATAAATAAAATATTTAAAAATCTGCATCTTGGCTGGGCCAGGTGGCACATACCTACAATCTCAGCACTTGGGAGGTGGAGGCAAGAGGAGAGACGTGAATTCCAGGCCAGGCTGAGCTATAAGGTGCAATCCTTATAGCTTATAAAAACAAACAAAACACATTTTCATCTTACAGGGGAACAATCTAATAAATTTATTTTATGGGGGCTTGATTTCATGCAAATTAAGACTGGAAAAAAACATGTATCAAAATTTAACAGTGGTTACCTATTCAATTTGAGAGGATTTTTGCTTATGTTTTTGTTATTTCATTATTTGTGTTTTCCAACTGTTCTTGAATGATAAATTTTTGTAATGGTAATTGATACATGATATTTGTGCTAAAAAACATGGCTAAAGCCCAAGACCTGGAGCCATGGAATTAAAGTTAACTGATTTCAAATAGTGAAGTTAATCTTGTTTACCAAGGAATAATTTTAATAAATTTTATTTTTAATATGAATATTTCATCATGTTTCATATAGAAATTATTTGTGATTTGCTAGGTACCTACAAAAGGTGATGATGAATTTTGCAATATTTGGCAGTCTTCATAGGAATCTAGAAGTCAATTTTTGTGCTCAGAATGATGAAGGAAAGACAATTACTCATGATAATTACTCATAAACTACATGGTAGGAACTTGAAACTTGCTTTTTGTTATTTATTGACAGGTGGGCCTCAAACTCATTATGTAGCTGAAGATGACCTTGAACTACTGATCCTCCTGTCTCCCAACTTCAAAGAGTTGGGATTATAGGTGTTGTCACCAGCCCAAGCTTGAGTAGGAAATTTATATTATATAAGAAGAAATGGAAGTGTTAATTTAAAAAATGTATAAAAAGAAAGCGAGGACAGTCTCAAGATCATTATTCAAATAAATGCATTTCTTCCTTATTCTAACGTAATTCATAACACGTACAACACTCTCAATTGCACTAATTTTGTTTGTGATTTTGAGATAGGATTTCACTATGTAGCTAACCAGGAATTTGCTATGTGGTCCAGGATAGCCTCAAACTCAAGATTCTCCTATTTTAGCCTCCCAAGTCCTGGGATTACAAGTGCATACCTCCATATCAGGCACTGAACCAACTTTTTAAATAAAAAAGGAAAACTAATTCAAATTAAGTTTCCATTTAGAAATTCTCAATGATTACCAATTTGTAGAGAGTGGAGAGAAATAAAGACTGAGAAACTTACTTGAGTAGGAACAAAAAGTGATTGGGGAGAATGGTTGAGGGCTCCCAAATGCCCAGATGAAACTGATGAACTTGCACTATAGTAATTCACAGCTGGCTGTGGTTTCACAATGGCTGTTAACTTCTGATTGCTGGTTTCAGAGCGACTCCCATGAGAAAGGTTCACTAAGGCACTTGTTGGCAATCGGTAACCTCTACCAGGTGAGCACCTAAAAGTAAGAAGTTCTATTAATGCTGGGCGTAGTTGAACATGCCTATACTCCCAGCACTTGAGAGGTAGAAGCAGGAAGATCAGAAGTGAGTGAGGTAATCATAGCTACACAGCCAGTTCAAATATCTTATCTCAAACAAAACAAAACAAAACAAAACAAAACAAAACAAAACAAAACAAAACAAAACAAAACAAAACCGGGAATGTAATTCAGGGAGGGTTAGATCTTTGCCCTTGAAGAAAACAAAAATCTGCTCCTGCCAAATGTTTCAACTCTATTACCTAATATTTTTTCCTCTTTCAAAATGCCATTTCTTATATATTGAAGAGCACTGGAAAAGTAGAATTCTTTTATGAGTTCCAGGTTGCTATAAAACATGTATTTTCTTTTTTATAAAACATAGTTTATTATTTTTATTTTATGTGTATGAGTGTATTGCCTGTATGTATGTAAGTGCACCTGTGTTGTGCAATGCTGGGACTCAAACCCAAAGAGCAGCCAGTGTTCTTAACTGCTGAGTCATCTCTTCAGTCCCCAAAATATGTATTTTCATGAGAACTATATTTATAGAGTATAAAAGTGAGTATTCTGAAAGGCAGATAGTCTTTTACACAGCTGTCTATCAATCAAGAAATCAGATGCCCTGACATCCTGTTCTAGCCTTGGGCACAGGCCCACTTCTGCTCTCAGCAACCCAGATCTCTGGACTACCCTCTCAGTCCAGATTCACCCACGGCTTCCCGATCCCCTGTACCAGAACAGTTCAGTCCTTCAGTCTAGTTGCTTAGGGACTCCACAGGCTGTGCCCATCCCCCACCTGCCTAGGATTCCTGAGACCAGCCTTCTTCCGTGGTAAATTTGAACCCTCCCACTGTGCCTTGACTCCCACAACCAGGCACAGGCCTGCTTTTTTACCCTCTTAACTCAGAGAGGCAGTGAGTTTGCAAAATCGAGCTTTGTCCATCCCCCTACATTGGGACCACCTACAGCCCCTCCCACTGATGCAGCATTAGGCTTCTTTGCCCTCTAGTAGGGGCCCAGAAATTTGCAAACTGCCTGAGATTGCCTGAATCCAATCTCCACCTAGCAGGCTTCCCAAATTGTATTGTGCCTGCTGACTAGAGGCCCAGACCTTAGGAAAAAGGCTGAGAGCATCTGACCCTCATTCCACTTGGGCCTCTGCAGGAACTCCTGAGTAGCTGGACTAGAGTCATCTGGCCCCTCTAATATAAAATCAAGAGAGAACCTAAAGCCTATACCAACCAGCTTTTCATACCCAATAAGAAAATAACAAAGGCACATCAAGTATAGAAACAGAAACAGACTTAAATTCAACAAAGGAAGGCTTGAATCTCACCCCAGAATCAGAAACAAAAAAGAAACCCACATGCCAAAGTCACAACGAAGAAAACATAAAAAACTCAAATAATATGTTCCCACCAAGCACCAACAATCCTATAGAAGAGTTCTACAATGAGAACCCCCTAGATATATGGCCAGAATTCAAAAGAACAATTATAAACAGGATCAAAGAATTCTATGAATTTAAAGAACACACAATCATCAAAGACCTAAAAGAAGACAGGATAAACTTCTAACTGAATTCATGAAAGAGTTAGAAATAGTGAAGACTCAGGCAGAAATGAAGAAAGTGAAACACTCAATAAGCCAATTAGAAACAGGAGAAAGCCTGATGTAGGATGAATGAAATGGAAAACAAAATATCAAGACTGGATGATAAAGTTGATGAATTGGACTGCTCAAGCAAAGATTATGAAAAATTTAAGAAAACACAGGAATGGAATATGCAGGAAAAGACCAAATTCACACATGATAGGCATAGGAGGAGAAGAATCTCAGGATAATGGTATGGACCAGATCTTCAACAGGATTGTAGAAGAAAATTTTCCAAAATTAAAGAAAGACATACCCATTCAAATATAAAAAGTACATAGAGCCAGGAGTGGTGGTGCACGCCTTTAATCCCAGCACTCGTGAGGCAGAGACAGGCAGAACTCTGTGAGTTCAAGGCTAACCTGGTCTAA